ACGTGGACCAACTCTACCAGAGAGCCGACAAGGCCCTCGCAGCCATGGTCAAACAGAACAAGGCGGAAGTGAAGCTGAAGCAGTTGTCGGCTGAAGATCGAGCGCAGTTACCGATCGCAAAGAATAATGAGGTCAAGTCTTTTCTCAAGTATCGGGCGCGTGAGGCTGCTAGCCGTGCTGGAGTGCACCCTGGCGCTTTGATGAAGACGAGATGGGTCATCACTCGGAAGGAGACCGGAGACCTCAGAGCTCGGCTGGTCGTTCTTGGCTTCACCGATCCCAGTCTTGGACAGATCAAGACCGCTTCTCCAAGCTGCAGCCGCCGAGCACGACGGGCCCTCCTGGGCGCGTCGACCTCCATGGGCTTCCAAGTCATCAAGGGTGACGTCGAAGCCGCGTTCCTGCAAGGTGATACTGGAGAAGAAGATCGCAATGTCCTCGCCGAGCCAGTAAAGGAGCTCAGAGAAGCGATGCGGCTGGAACATCACCAATGCATTCGGTTGAAGAAAGCAGTTTATGGTCTGGTGAATTTTCCGCGACGCTGGTGGACCAGAGTGCGCAGCGATATGTCAAAACTTGGCTGGGTTGAATATACCACCGAACCCTGCCTATAGTGCCAACAGGATTCTGGAGGCCAGCTACGAGGTCTGGCCGTAGCTCGCGCCGACGACCTCATGATTGCGATCGACAACCAATCCGATTTCGCGATAGACGCCCTGCAGAAGCTTCATCAGGCCTATGAATGGGGAAGCTGGGAGACTCAAGACTTTATGCAGCGTGGAACGCGAATCAGACACGAGTATGATGGACGATCTCAGTCCTGGGCCGCATCCACTTGAGTATGGTCGACTACTCTCAGGAGCTGGCTGAGATGGACATTCCAGTTCAAAAGCGACGAGATCCCGAACAGGCAGTGACCGCGGCAGAAGCGACGCGCCGGAGAGCGGTGTTTGGACAACTCATGCGGCTGGCTACTCAAGGCGTTCCTCTTAATTGTGCTGAGCTCTTTCTACTGCTGGCTTATAGCAACACAGCGACGGTGAACACGCTGTTGCAGGCCAACAAGCTCATCAGGAGGGCACGGATCGAGGCGAGCAGAGAGCTGATCATGGAGAAGCACGCCAATCCGTGTTGTTAGATATCCTGATGCAGCGTGGAATGTTCGACGATGTGGATCATCGCAAGAGGGTTTTCTGATCTTTCTCACCGGCTACGCCTTGATGCAACATCGAGATGCTCCAACTTCGTTTTGTTGACATGGGCCGCTGCGAAGCTACCACGAGTTTGTCGGAGTTCGAGTGCAGCAGAAGTTCAAGCAGCGAGTGAGGCACAAGAGGAGCTGAGGGATATCCTCCTTGGGCCCACACCTCTCAAGCAGTGGGCGAGCCGTTGTGCCAAAATCCCGGGAGCTTTGGTCTTGGACTGTCGTGGCGTGGAATCTTCGACGCCCTGGACCGTTAAGAGGGCAGCGCGTTGGGCATGAAGGACAAGAGGAGTGCTCTGGAGGCCTTGGCTCTCAAGCGCGGGATGGCCGCGACCGCCACATCCTTGAGGTGGTGCCACAGCGGAGCTCAGCTGAGTGGCTGCACGACGAAGAACTCGAAGAAAGTACGGATGAGCTACGACCTTTGGCTTCAGAGAGGAACTTGAAAGCTGATTTATGATGCGAATTTCATCTCCGAGAAGCAGAGGAAACAACGTGGTCTACAGACTCTGGATTGTGCAACAGATTTTACAGTCGATGAAGATGGCGCGTGGCAATTGTTTCCAAATGATTTGGGGATCGAGAAAGATTCGGATATTCCTCGAGACTTTCGGTCACCGGAAGTGGTGAGCTTGATGATGCACGATGCTACCCCTCAGTAGTAGCCCTCGCCACCAAGGGGAATCTCTCCAGTGTATTTTGTTGTTGTTCTTTCTCACCCCCCTGAGCTAGAAATGAACACTTCAACGAGCCGTACAGTCGGTTCGGGGCATGTGAGTCTAAGGTTGATTTTGAACTGTTTAGGACGGAGTTCCCGACCCCATAACTCATCCAACTGCACGTGCCCGTATCGGTTCTATCTTCCGCAGTCGTCTGGCTCAGCGCCAGCCGCCTGGCCCTTTTTGGTGACAGATAAACCTGGTCCGAAGCTCAGGGGGACCGCACGTGTGTGATAGCAACATCCTTCTCAATAATTGGCTCTCGCTTCTTGTTGGATATCAGCAGCTCTGCCGAGCACATCGTCTACACTCGAAGTGATATTCCAACGCTCTGTCGAGCACAGCACCTCCGCCGAGACGTCCCTCTACGTGATGTTCATCAGAGAATATTGTGAAGATATTTCGAAGTGTAAGGCTGAGATCCGTGGATAACACGCTCCACTGGCACGCCCCCACATCCAGCGCACCCCCTGTGATGCCACGCCTGCCACGCCCTGCGAGCCTGCAGCGCACAGCGCCCCCACCCCCAGCGCACCCCCTGTGGCGTCGAGGAAATGCCACGCCTGCGATGCCGTGGGCGACCGTGCGCATACGTCTTGGGTGTATGATGCAGTGCGCCTGCCACGCCTGCCACGCCCTGCGAATATTGAGCGCATGTGTTTTGCGTGTGTGCATGCGTGCGGCTGTGTGTAGAACGCGCGTCTTATGTACGTGCCGTGCATGTGTGACGCGCGGGTGAGGCGAGGAAGAGGAGGAGAGGAATAGGAAGAGGGGAAGAGGGAGGCGTGTGTGGGACGAGACGCGGGTGTGACGCGGCAGGGAAGAACACTGAACCCCACTAAGCATGTGGGGAAAACACTGTTTAGGTTCAGCCCTGAGCGAGGGCGCAGTGGGTGCAGGAGAAGCCCGAAGGCGCAAGACGGTGCGCAATAAGGCTAATGGCCAAGCCGAGTGGCAAGTAAGGCACGACAACGACACACGGAAGGAAACCAAAGGTCGCCACAAGCCGGGCGCCCAGGCGAAATGCCAGGACAAGGTCTGCTGCGAAGATGCGCAGCGGGACAAACACACACACACACAAACTCACACACGCACAAACACACACACACACATACACTTGGCGAACCGAAGCAAACCCAGATCACTTACGTTAAACCCCCCACGCCTTCGTCCAAACTTGCTGGGAGGGTGGGTGGACGCGCGGTCGCCATCCACCCCCCAGTCCGATTCACGATCCATCTTGGGTAGACTGGACGAGCACCACATGACTGCCGTCTGTAGCCCAACGAATCCATCAAACGCGACCAATTCGTCCAACCTTGCGTACAAATTTGGAGCGCACATTGACGTTGATGAACATGGAATGGCCCGAATCGGCTTCCACGGTGGCCCTTGAAGGCATCCCGCGAAGCCCCCATACAGCCGCAAGAAATATGATGATAAGCTTTCTCAACGAATGTCGCTTTCTCACCTCGGCTCCTTAGTGGCGAGGCAAAACGCTGCCGAACTGTCGCCTAGAGAGGCTACAGGGAAGCCCAAGAAGAGCCCCAGAGGAGCCCAAACAAGGCCCTTGATGACCCCAACTGATCTCCAAGAGAGCCAGGAAGCTCCCACACACAGATCCCACGGCCTCCACGAGGGCACTGAAGTCCAAGAAAGCCAAGGAAGACAGACGAGGGCTCGGGGATTCAAACCGAACTGAAGAGGACCCAGAGCCCTAACACCTCCACGAAAAGGACCCGAGATGACCCCAAAGTCCCCAGCAGTGCTCGGGCACACGCGCGCTGGCTGCGCAGTCCATCCGAACGCACACGTGGCCCAGGCGCCGCCCGGGTTGGGAGATCTGCGCTCTGAGCTCTCGCGTCGCCGATCCGTCGGCCCCCTTGTGGTGCCATCAGGCTGCGCGGCTTAGATTTCCTGCTCCCTGTGCCAGTTCCAGCTGTCGGTCCCCAACGTCGCAGTGTCACGTTCTGTTTCCTACTGGAAGTTGCTACTGTCGGCGCGAGGGTGGTACCGAAAACCACCCTGGCCGCAACGCCCGGATCGCGCTGCGTGAACTTCTGGTGGGGCGGGGGCACCTCACAAGACGTGAGGTCTGCGCCCCCAGGAGCTTGCAAGTTACGCCAGCGTCGCGCTGCCGAGGCCAGAGCCCTTTGTAACCTGCACCAGGTTCGCGCTCCCGAGGCCAGACTCCCTCGTGCTTTCCGCGTGATCCGCGCTCCCGGGGCCAGAATCCAGCGCAATGTTTGCCACATGCGCGCGGAAAGCGCTCCAAACATGCAACAACGTGTTCAATCATAGCCCCAGCATCTCAATACAGTAGGGGCCCGACCACAAGAAACCTTCCACAAGAAACCCAACCCTGAGACCCCAGGACGTCCATGGATTCGGAACGTCACGACTTCCACAGCAGAACCCTCACGACCCAAGAGACCCGGGGCACCCTGGAGGCGAGCAGGGTGCTTCTTGGCATGGGCCTCCACTGCATGTGCTGCTGGTTCCCTAGCCGTCCCCGCACGCTGTTCGCACATGTCTTCACGACGGCGCCGAGACGCCCCGTTACTGCGCTGATACCTTCCAGTACAATCATCGGCCTGACCTAAGGAACGATAAATGAGGAACAAAGCCCCTTATTGTGCCCAAGGAATAACGCTTGAGGAACGGTAAATAATGTATAGCGCATAAGAAACGACACATAACATATGCAAACTTAAGGAACGACCGAGCCCCTCTTGAAAAGCAAGTGTTCCTTATTCAAGCCGCTCACTGTACGGCAGAGAGGGGGGGGCCGGCGGCAGAGGGCAAGACCCTCACGGGCAGCGCAGACACTGCAGAACCCCGTCGGCCACTCGCCAGGGCTCCCTCCTGGCGCCCGCGGCACGAAGACGAGGTGGCAAGCCAATCGCAAGAAGAGCACGCAAGAGGTGCATTGCACATGCGTGTTTTGAATGTAGACGGCTTTCGGCCACAACGAGCGGACCTCGGGCGCGACGCGGCCAGACGGGAGCCCCTGGAGTTGCGATGCAGTGCTGGTTTGCCGAGCTGCTGCCACTGCGAAGTCCAAGACCGAGCGAGCTCTACCTGCCGTCCGAAAGTCTCTTGTGGCTGTGCTGGCGGATGGTGCGGATCTCCTTGGCGCTGCAGCTGTGCAGGCTCTCGACCTCCTTCAGGTTGAACTCCTTCGCCAGGGACGTTTGCCCGCTCTTCTCGCAGGCCCACGCCAAGGTGCTGAACGTGATGGCGTTGGCCTCGATGCCCTTGCCGATCATCTCCCGGTACACGTCGAGAGCCTTCTCCGGCTCCTTGCTCTTGGCCCAGCAGCTCATCAGCGCGGTGTAGGCCTTGACGTCGGGCGCAGGCCCCGACTCCTCCATCTCCCTGAGAAGCTCTGTCGCGCGCTCGGGCCACATGCGCTTCTCGCACGCGCTGATCAGGGAGTTGAAAGTGATCGCGTCGGGCGCGACGCCCTCCTCCTTCATCGTCCTGAACGTGTCGAGCGCCATGCCGATGCGCTTCACGTTGCCGCAGGCCCCGATCATGGCGTTGTAAACGAAGCGGTTCGGGACCAGCTTGTTGTCCTGGAGCTCCTGGAAGAGCTCGGCCGCCTTGTTGCCCCACTTGCACTTGCCGCAAGCGCTGATGAGCAGGCCGTAGGTGCTCGCGTCCGGCTCGAGGGCCAGCGACTTCTTCATGTAGTCGAAAAGGGCCAGGGCCCGCTCCACGTTCCGCAGCTGCTCGCACGCGGACAGGGCCCAATTGCAGCAGATGCGGTCCACCGTGCATCCGGACTTACACATGGCATCGAACACCTGGAGGGCGTCTTCCGGCCGGCGGGCCCGCTCGCAGAGCTTCATCACCGTGGAGTAGGTCACAGCGTCGGGCGCGGGGCCCGTCGTCTGCATCTCCTTCAGCAGCGCCAGGGCGTCGTCCAGGGTCTTGTCCCCCCTCCCGCACGCATTGATCATCGCGTTGTACGCGCCGAGGTTGCTCTGGGACTGGCCACCCTGCTGCTTCATGGAAGAGAACACCTGGGCGGCCCTGCCCGTCTGGGCGCTCCGGTCGCAGGCGCTGATCACGGTGCTGTAGGTGCCGGCGTCGGGCGCCACCCCGAGCCGTCGCATCTCGGCGTAGAGCTCCGTCACCTTCTGGGGGTACTTGTCCCTGCACGCGCTGATCAGGGCGCCGAACGTGTACGAGTCCGCCTGGATGCCGCGCTCCCCCATGTCCTTGTAGAGGCCCAGGGCCATGTCGGCCTTGTCCACGCTCTGGCTCCGGGAGCACGCGTGCAAGAGCTTGCCGAAGGTGATGTAGTTGGGCTCGATCTGGCTCGCCTTCATGGCCTCGTAGAACTCCCACGCCTTCTCGGGATGCTGGCTCTGACCCATGGCACCGATGAGCGAGGTGTAGGTCACCACGGTCGGGGTCAGACCGTTCGACCGCATCTCCTCCCAGACCTCGAGCGCCCTCTCAGGGTGGCTGCCCCGCCCGCAGGCGCTGATGAGTGCGTTGTAAGTGACAGCGTTCGGGGTACACTGCTGCGCTTTCATCTCGTCGAACAGCTCCATCGCCCTCTCTTGCTGCTTGCCCTTGTCGCATGCGCTGATCAGGGCCGTGTACACGCTCGTGTTCGGGGGGACCGAGCGCCGCCGCATGTCGTCCAGAAGCTCCAAGGCCTCGCCACATCGCTTGTTCTTGGCGTGCTCCGTGATCGTCCGGACGTACCCCTGGCAAATGGCATGACCTCGTCGTCTAGCCGACCCCGCCGCTGGTCGAAACCCTGGTCTCCGCGACGCGAGCGTGCTATCGCAGCGGAGTCAACGTGAACCATAACCAGGATGAGCGCCAAAACGACAAGATGGCCTCTGGGCCAGCCCGGGGGGGGGGGCAACAATTCCTGATGCCGGCGGTCCAGCCCACGACATCTGTGGTGGACGTCAGCGTCCGAAGCCGTCACCGAAAGATCGAACATTAGGAGACCCCAGAGGGCGAGATCAGCGATCGCGTATATTCCCAACCGAGCCGTCGGCTGGCGATCGGCGGTCCCTGCGGTCACGAACGGCGATCGCACCAGTGGGTGGACGCTGAGCGGGCCCGGCGTCTCCCGTCCGCCTGGCGACTCTCCCGAGACTCTGCCTGCACCTGCGCCGCCATCGACACTGGGGCCGGTGGCCCGGGCTCCCGGCTGCGCCCGCCAGCATCCACGGCCCCCTTGCCGGACGGGTGGCGGGGGAAGCTCTTGGGGCCCTGGGTGGCGTCTGCCTGGTAGGACGCCATCTTGCCCGCCTTGAGCCCGCCCTTGCCCACCTTGCCTGGGTGTGTGTACACCCAGGCCGTCCTCGCCACCGCCAGGATCGCAACCACCACCTCGAAGCTGCCACCCCCGAAGAGGGCCAGCAACACGGCGGCGGCCACTGCGATCGCGGGACGCCAGTCCGCCCCGCTGAGCGCAAGCGCAGGAGTGCCCACAGGATGGGGCATGAATCCCTCCACGCGAGGCATCGTGAACATTGCGAAATGTGAATGCGAATGGCACGTGAGTGCCAGTAGTAGCGGAGATATCCGGTTGGAAATTGCGTTGAATGATTCTGTGAGTTCAGCTTGGCCGAGGTTCGCCTTGAGAGAAAAAATGCAAAAGGCACGCATGGTTGTATGGAAGCAAGTGCGGGTGTGCGCACGAGGACTACATCTGGCAGCTGGTATGTGCCCTGGTGCCCCATCGGTGTATGCGAAGTGCGATCTCGTGGTTACTCTTGCCGTCCTTGAAATCATGTAACACAGGTCTACGAACGCACACTCGACCATCAGAGAAGCATGGACCGCATACAGAGGAACTCTAATCTGTGAGCACGGGCAAAACTATGGCCCAACGTTGCGTTAGGGTATGAACGAGCACAGAAACGTGTCCCGAGGCAAGCGCGCACAGACAAGAGGCAACATGCTGTAATGAATGTCGGCGTTTCTTGTTGGGACCCTGACGTTTCCTAACATACTGTGGCCGCAAGCCCATTATACATTGGTACCGCTTCAACCCCAGACATACATGAACCTCGCCATACAAAACGGACTGGAGATGTCCGCTCTCTTCGTGTACGCAAAACGACGCGTGCTCCCAGCACTTATCATCCTACACACGGCGCGATGGGGTAATGCTAATTTTGTTCATGTGTGCGCTGATTTGGGGTCCGGTGGCGACGCTGTCCCCCAGTGCAAGATGCGCACACCAGCTAAACATTATTGTGAACAGGAACTCCTACGCGACCAGAGTTCTGCGCCTTCTGCAACCAAGCGGGCTACGACCACTACGCGGGATCCAGGACGCAGTGCCCATGGCGACCACTTGGTCCAAAGACGAGAACACAAGCCACGAACAATCACCATAAGCAACAAACAACAAATGTTCGCGAGCTAAAGAACATAGCATAGCGGGGAGCAGGATGGAATGGACAAGCTTTCGGGGCACGTTAAACAGATAACAAACTGGCATTGAAGAGCGCGTGTCAGAGAGACTTTCACGCGCTCGTGTTTCCGAGGGCGGCGTCCTGCCCTTCGCCAGCTGCGCTGTCCGGAGCCGCCCTCTTCGGGGCCTTCCCGGCCACACTGATCAGGCCTCGGGGCAAACTGCGGCAGGACGGGGGCTCGCAGAGCTGCGACGCAGTGCTCGCCGACCTTCGGCCGCTGCGGGGAGGACACCCGAGCGAGCTCTACCTGCCGTCCGAAAGTCTCTTGTGGCTGTGCTGGCGGATGGTGCGGATCTCCTTGGCGCTGCAGCTGTGCAGGCTCTCGACCTCCTTCAGGTTGAACTCCTTCGCCAGGGACGTTTGCCCGCTCTTCTCGCAGGCCCACGCCAAAGTGCTGAACGTGATGGCGTTGGCCTCGATGCCCTTGCCGATCATCTCCCGGTACACGTCGAGAGCCTTCTCCGGCTCCTTGCTCTTGGCCCAGCAGCTCATCAGCGCGGTGTAGGCCTTGACGTCGGGCGCAGGCCCCGACTCCTCCATCTCCCTGAGAAGCTCTGTCGCGCGCTCGGGCCACATGCGCTTCTCGCACGCGCTGATCAGGGAGTTGAAAGTGATCGCGTCGGGCGCGACGCCCTCCTCCTTCATCGTCCTGAACGTGTCGAGCGCCATGCCGATGCGCTTCACGTTGCCGCAGGCCCCGATCATGGCGTTGTAAACGAAGCGGTTCGGGACCAGCTTGTTGTCCTGGAGCTCCTGGAAGAGCTCGGCCGCCTTGTTGCCCCACTTGCACTTGCCGCAAGCGCTGATGAGCAGGCCGTAGGTGCTCGCGTCCGGCTCGAGGGCCAGCGACTTCTTCATGTAGTCGAAAAGGGCCAGGGCCCGCTCCACGTTCCGCAGCTGCTCGCACGCGGACAGGGCCCAGTTGCAGCAGATGCGGTCCACCGTGCATCCGGACTTACACATGGCATCGAACACCTGGAGGGCGTCTTCCGGCCGGCGGGCCCGCTCGCAGAGCTTCATCACCGTGGAGTAGGTCACAGCGTCGGGCGCGGGGCCCGTCGTCTGCATCTCCTTCAGCAGCGCCAGGGCGTCGTCCAGGGTCTTGTCCCCCCTCCCGCACGCATTGATCATCGCGTTGTACGCGCCGAGGTTGCTCTGGGACTGGCCACCCTGCTGCTTCATGGAAGAGAACACCTGGGCGGCCCTGCCCGTCTGGGCGCTCCGGTCGCAGGCGCTGATCACGGTGCTGTAGGTGCCGGCGTCGGGCGCCACCCCGAGCCGTCGCATCTCCGCGTAGAGCTCCGTGACCTTCTGGGGGTACTTGTCCCTGCACGCGCTGATCAGGGCGCCGAACGTGTACGAGTCCGCCTGGATGCCGCGCTCCCCCATGTCCTTGTAGAGGCCCAGGGCCATGTCGGCCTTGTCCACGCTCTGGCTCCGGGAGCACGCGTGCAAGAGCTTGCCGAAGGTGATGTAGTTGGGCTCGATCTGGCTCGCCTTCATGGCCTCGTAGAACTCCCACGCCTTCTCGGGATGCTGGCTCTGACCCATGGCACCGATGAGCGAGGTGTAGGTCACCACGGTCGGGGTCAGACCGTTCGACCGCATCTCCTCCCAGACCTCGAGCGCCCTCTCAGGGTGGCTGCCCCGCCCGCAGGCGCTGATGAGTGCGTTGTAAGTGACAGCGTTCGGGGTACACTGCTGCGCCTTCATCTCGTCGAACAGCTCCATCGCCCTCTCTTGCTGCTTGCCCTTGTCGCATGCGCTGATCAGGGCCGTGTACACGCTCGTGTTCGGGGGGACCGAGCGCCGCCGCATGTCGTCCAGAAGCTCCAAGGCCTCGCCACATCGCTTGTTCTTGGCGTGCTCCGTGATCGTCCGGACGTACCCCTGGCAAATGGCATGACCTCGTCGTCTAGCCGACCCCGCCGCTGGTCGAAACCCTGGTCTCCGCGACGCGAGCGTGCTATCGCAGCGGAGTCAACGTGAACCATAACCAGGATGAGCGCCAAAACGACAAGATGGCCTCTGGGCCAGCCCGGGGGGGGGGGCAACAATTCCTGATGCCGGCGGTCCAGCCCACGACATCTGTGGTGGACGTCAGCGTCCGAAGCCGTCACCGAAAGATCGAACATTAGGAGACCCCAGAGGGCGAGATCAGCGATCGCGTATATTCCCAACCGAGCCGACGGCTGGCGATCGGCGGTCCCTGCGGTCACGAACGGCGATCGCACCAGTGGGTGGACGCTGAGCGGGCCCGGCGTCTCCCGTCCGCCTGGCGACTCTCCCGAGACTCTGCCTGCACCTGCGCCGCCATCGACACTGGGGCCGGTGGCCCGGGCTCCCGGCTGCGCCCGCCAGCATCCACGGCCCCCTTGCCGGACGGGTGGCGGGGGAAGCTCTTGGGGCCCTGGGTGGCGTCTGCCTGGTAGGACGCCATCTTGCCCGCCTTGAGCCCGCCCTTGCCCACCTTGCCTGGGTGTGTGTACACCCAGGCCGTCCTCGCCACCGCCAGGATCGCAACCACCACCTCGAAGCTGCCACCCCCGAAGAGGGCCAGCAACACGGCGGCGGCCACTGCGATCGCGGGACGCCAGTCCGCCCCGCTGAGCGCAAGCGCAGGAGTGCCCACAGGATGGGGCATGAATCCCTCCACGCGAGGCATCGTGAACATTGCGAAATGTGAATACAAGAGGCACGTGAGTGCCAGTAGTAGCGGAGATATCCGGTTGGAAATTGCGTTGAATGATTCTGTGAGTTCAGCTTGGCCGAGGTTCGCCTTGAGAGAAAAATATGCAAAGGGCACGCATGGTTGTATGGAAGCATGTGCGGGTGCGCGCACGAGGACTACATCTGGCAGCTGGTATGTGCCCTGGTGCCTCTTAGGTGTATGCGAAGTGCGATCTCGTGGTTACTCTTGCCGTCCTTGAAATCATGTAACACAGGTCTACGCACGCACACTCAACCATCAGAGAAGCATGGACCACATACAGAGGAACTCAAATCTGTGAGCACGGGCAACACTATGGCTCAACGTTGCGTTAGGGTATGAGCGAGCACAGAAACGTGTCCCGAGGCAAGTGCGCACAGACAAGAGGCAACATGCTGTAATCAATGTCGGCGTTTCTTGTTGGGACCCTGACGTTACACAAAATATGGTGGTCGCAAGCCCATTACACATTGGTACCGCTTCAACCCCAGACATGCATGAACCTCGCCATACAAAACGGACTGGAGATGTCCGCTCTCTTCGTGACGCGTGCTCCCAGCACTTCTCATCCTACACACGGCAAGATGGGGTAATGCTAATGTTGTTCATGTGTGCGCTGATTTGGGGTCTGGTGGCGACGCTGTCCCTCAGTGCAAGATGCGCACACCAGCTCAACATTATTGTGAACAGGAACTCCTTCGCGACCAGAGTTCTGCGCCTTCTGCAACCAAGCGGGCTACGACCACTACGCGGGATCCAGGACGCAGTGCCCATGGCGACCACTTGGTCAAAAGACGAGAAACCAAGCCACGAACAGTCACCATAAGCAACAAACAACAAATGATCGCGAGCTAAAGAACATAGCATAGCGGGGAGCAGGATGGAATGGACAAGCTTTCGGGGCACGTTAAACAGATAACAAACTGGCCTTGAAGAGCGCGTGTCAGAGAGACTTTCACGCGCTCGTGTTTCCGAGGGCGGCGTCCTGCCCTTCGCCAGCTGCGCTGTCCGGAGCCGCCCTCTTCGGGGCCTCCCCAGCCACACTGATCAGGCCTCGGGGCAAACTGCGGCAGGACGGGGGCTCGCAGAGCTGCGACGCAGTGCTCGCCGACCTTCAGCCGCTGCGGGGAGGACACCCGAGCGAGCTCTACCTGCCGTCCGAAAGTCTCTTGTGGCTGTGCTGGCGGATGGTGCGGATCTCCTTGGCGCTGCAGCTGTGCAGGCTCTCGACCTCCTTCAGGTTGAACTCCTTCGCCAGGGACGTTTGCCCGCTCTTCTCGCACGCCCACGCCAAGGTGCTGAACGTGATGGCGTTGGCCTCGATGCCCTTGCCGATCATCTCCCGGTACACGTCGAGAGCCTTCTCCGGCTCCTTGCTCTTGGCCCAGCAGCTCATCAGCGCGGTGTAGGCCTTGACGTCGGGCGCAGGCCCCGACTCCTCCATCTCCCTGAGAAGCTCTGTCGCGCGCTCGGGCCACATGCGCTTCTCGCACGCGCTGATCAGGGAGTTGAAAGTGATCGCGTCGGGCGCGACGCCCTCCTCCTTCATCGTCCTGAACGTGTCGAGCGCCATGCCGATGCGCTTCACGTTGCCGCAGGCCCCGATCATGGCGTTGTAAACGAAGCGGTTCGGGACCAGCTTGTTGTCCTGGAGCTCCTGGAAGAGCTCGGCCGCCTTGTTGCCCCACTTGCACTTGCCGCAAGCGCTGATGAGCAGGCCGTAGGTGCTCGCGTCCGGCTCGAGGGCCAGCGACTTCTTCATGTAGTCGAAAAGGGCCAGGGCCCGCTCCACGTTCCGCAGCTGCTCGCACGCGGACAGGGCCCAGTTGCAGCAGATGCGGTCCACCGTGCATCCGGACTTACACATGGCATCGAACACCTGGAGGGCGTCTTCCGGCCGGCGGGCCCGCTCGCAGAGCTTCATCACCGTGGAGTAGGTCACAGCGTCGGGCGCGGGGCCCGTCGTCTGCATCTCCTTCAGCAGCGCCAGGGCGTCGTCCAGGGTCTTGTCCCCCCTCCCGCACGCATTGATCATCGCGTTGTACGCGCCGAGGTTGCTCTGGGACTGGCCACCCTGCTGCTTCATGGAAGAGAACACCTGGGCGGCCCTGCCCGTCTGGGCGCTCCGGTCGCAGGCGCTGATCACGGTGCTGTAGGTGCCGGCGTCGGGCGCCACCCCGAGCCGTCGCATCTCCGCGTAGAGCTCCGTGACCTTCTGGGGGTACTTGTCCCTGCACGCGCTGATCAGGGCGCCGAACGTGTACGAGTCCGCCTGGATGCCGCGCTCCCCCATGTCCTTGTAGAGGCCCAGGGCCATGTCGGCCTTGTCCACGCTCTGGCTCCGGGAGCACGCGTGCAAGAGCTTGCCGAAGGTGATGTAGTTGGGCTCGATCTGGCTCGCCTTCATGGCCTCGTAGAACTCCCACGCCTTCTCGGGATGCTGGCTCTGACCCATGGCACCGATTAGCGAGGTGTAGGTCACCACGGTCGGGGTCAGACCGTTCGACCGCATCTCCTCCCAGACCTCGAGCGCCCTCTCAGGGTGGCTGCCCCGCCCGCAGGCGCTGATGAGTGCGTTGTAAGTGACAGCGTTCGGGGTACACTGCTGCGCCTTCATCTCGTCGAACAGCTCCATCGCCCTCTCTTGCTGCTTGCCCTTGTCGCATGCGCTGATCAGGGCCGTGTACACGCTCGTGTTCGGGGGGACCGAGCGCCGCCGCATGTCGTCCAGAAGCTCCAAGGCCTCGCCACATCGCTTGTTCTTGGCGTGCTCCGTGATCGTCCGGACGTACCCCTGGCAAATGGCATGACCTCGTCGTCTAGCCGACCCCGCCGCTGGTCGAAACCCTGGTCTCCGCGACGCGAGCGTGCTATCGCAGCGGAGTCAACGTGAACCATAACCAGGATGAGCGCCAAAACGACAAGATGGCCTCTGGGCCAGCCCGGGGGGGGGGGCAACAATTCCTGATGCCGGCGGTCCAGCCCACGACATCTGTGGTGGACGTCAGCGTCCGAAGCCGTCACCGAAAGATCGAACATTAGGAGACCCCAGAGGGCGAGATCAGCGATCGCGTATATTCCCAACCGAGCCGACGGCTGGCGATCGGCGGTCCCTGCGGTCACGAACGGCGATCGCACCAGTGGGTGGACGCTGAGCGGGCCCGGCGTCTCCCGTCCGCCTGGCGACTCTCCCGAGACTCTGCCTGCACCTGCGCCGCCATCGACACTGGGGCCGGTGGCCCGGGCTCCCGGCTGCGCCCGCCAGCATCCACGGCCCCCTTGCCGGACGGGTGGCGGGGGAAGCTCTTGGGGCCCTGGGTGGCGTCTGCCTGGTAGGACGCCATCTTGCCCGCCTTGAGCCCGCCCTTGCCCACCTTGCCTGGGTGTGTGTACACCCAGGCCGTCCTCGCCACCGCCAGGATCGCAACCACCACCTCGAAGCTGCCACCCCCGAAGAGGGCCAGCAACACGGCGGCGGCCACTGCGATCGCGGGACGCCAGTCCGCCCCGCTGAGCGCAAGCGCAGGAGTGCCCACAGGATGGGGCATGAATCCCTCCACGCGAGGCATCGTGAACATTGCGAAATGTGAATACAAGAGGCACGTGAGTGCCAGTAGTAGCGGAGATATCCGGTTGGAAATTGCGTTGAATGATTCTGTGAGTTCAGCTTGGCCGAGGTTCGCCTTGAGAGAAAAAACGGCAAAAGGCACTCGTGTTCGTGTGCGTGTGTGATAAGTGCGCGTGTGGGCCACACAGTGCAGCTGGCCTGCATCAAGCTGCTCACGGGTGCACACGTACCCACGCGCCAACCTTCAATGATGTGAGCTCTGCCGCCGAGCAAAGCCAACAGTCAGCCCGCACGGCACACATCAGTATGCACACATCGCGATGAAGCAACTTGCCACTTTGCAATCAACAGGCAACACATGGCACATGTACTCCGCAAAAACAATGTAGCGATGAATAAACGACGCCGGTACTGAACATGCAAATGCACATGGCACTCCGCCCTTCTGTCTTTCCACAAAGTGTCTTCAGAAAACGGGCTATTGAAAAACATTGCGATACAGCGCCTCCGCTTACCTTAGCCGGCCGTTATTTCCGACCGTTCGCGCCCCCTGTGATTCCCGACATCGCCGCCAGATTCTTTGGCCCGCCGTGTCCCCGATAGCGCCTCCACTGCCCGCAACCACCCAGTCTTTCCCCAATGGTCGTTCCCGATGTCCTTCTCCCTGGTGCCCCCCCGCATCCACCGCTATCCCTTTCCTGGGCGCCCCCCCGCGTCGCCGCTGAGTTTCTTGGCCAGCCGCGCCCCCGACTGCCCTGCCCGACATCCCACTGCGCCGATGCCGATGTCCCTGGCAAGCCGTGCCCCCCCAGCTCACGGCCCAGGTGCCTCCCCGCGTCGCCGCCAGATTCCTGGGCCTACTGTTCCCGACGGCCCCCGACTGCCCCTGGCATTTGTTCCCCTGCGCCGCTGCCGAGGTCCCTGGCCAGCCGTGCCATCCACTGTCTGGCCACGATCTGAACTGTTCCCGAGTGCACCTGGCCCCAGTGTTCCCCCGCATCGCACTCAGGCGGCCACGAGGGAGCGCGCAGGGCTCACCCGCAGGGAACCACGCTGCACGAAACCACGCAGACACAGCAACTGTGAGGAGGGGAGAAAGGGTAGGCAAGGACACTGAGCACGGAGAAGTTTTCGACAGGGGAGACTGTCGGGGGTTGCCAAGGTGCCACTGGCCCGAGGTGCCCCGGGCTTCTAGCTCAATTTGGAAGCCCCTGGCATCCCCTGGGCTTCGTGAGGGGCGCTCTGGAGGCTGCAGGGGACTCCTGGGAAATCCTGGGGGCACCCTGTGCCAGAGGCACTCCAAGCAACACCCGAGACTAGAAGAAGAGAAAGCGTCAGAAACAGAAACTTGTGACGCTCCGCGCGGTTTTCTCGGGTCCGCGCTGGGCCCCCGCGCTGGGGGCGGCGCCGCAGGCGCCGCCAGTGGGGGCCCAGCGCGGCTCCAAGAAATCCGCGCGGAGCGCCAGAAGCTTAAGCGCCAAAAGCTGATGTTTCTGGCGGGCTGCTCTCCTCGACACAGCTGCACTGGCACCGCGGAGCCGCCGCAGGCACCGCCGAGCGCGGGCGCGGGCGCGGGGCGCGGCCTGCGGGCGAGCGGTCCTCGCGAGGGGCGCCTCGGAGAGATTGCCCCTCGGCGCCTCGGCCACCGCCGCCGCCGACCTCGCGGCGGCGCGCCGCTGGGCCCCCGCCCGCCCGAGGAGGCTCAAGATTAGGAGGCCACATGCGAACCCTACCCCTACCCCCTCAGAAATCGTGTGGGGTAGGGGTAGGGTTCGCATGTGGTCTCCTAAAGATGGGCTTCCAAAACGCCTCTACGAACGTGGCTGAGACAATCAAGGTGTAAGAAGCCTGGGCCGGCCTCCCGAAGGCTCTCGAAGCAAGCCGGGGCGAGCTGTCTCGGTCCACGCCGCAGGGGCGAACGTGCTCAAGAGTCTGGGACAGCTTCTCGGCAAGTCGGTCAAGAAACGCTGGCTCGGCTGCACGGGAGGAGATCTGTTAGTCATACGCTCGACCGTGTTGTGAGAAGCCCCGAGACCGCCTCAGTACGGCTCCCAGAGGCCAGGGAGCCTCCCAAGGACGCCCCCGAGATGCCCAAATCCCTCCAAGACCCACATCAAGGAAATCAAAGGTTGATGCCTTGTCGTCATTTCGCTTCCGGGAAGGCTGTGCCGAGTGCCAAGCTTTGCCCCCTCGTCCCGCTTTTCTGGGGGAGGAGGAGGAGGGGGAGGAGGAGGGGCAGGCCTGCGTGCGTGGCGTTCCGCCCCCCTTCCCCCGACCCCGCCCCCCCCCCCCCTCCGCCGCCTTTTCGGGCAGCGCGGAGCCGAAAAAGGCGTGCAAATGAGTCCCAACTTGCGCGGAGCCTAGATTTCTTTTCGGGCCTCGCCCCGCCCCGCCCCCACCCGCCCCCCTCCATGCAAGCAAACCTACTGGACACTAGAAAGAGAACAGCCTCCGAGGTTTGCCCCCTAGACCCTGCTCAAGGGTGGATGGGGGGGGGAACCTTCGGGCTTTTTGTTGGCCCCTGTCAGGCCTCTCGGGACATCCGGGGATCTCCGGGGTTCCAGATCCAGGACGGGGGAAAATTTGCTGAGACCTCGGCAGGGGTGGCATGATCAGCCAGCATCGGATCGCGAGATCGGATCGGATCGATACGTGCGTCGTGTCAGGCAGCATCGGCACGGGGTCGAAATCGAAACAGATCGGCATCGCCAGGATGCAGAACAGCGTCATGCAAGCATTGTGCCGCATCGAATCGTTGGGGGATCCGAACCGAAGCGGATCGGGCCGACCCGAATCGGTATCGGATCGGACCAATCGGATGAGAATGGGCCCTGCACGGTTGCCTCGAAGTGCGTCCGGCTCTGGGTCGCCAGGGTGCCAAGGATGAGGAGATCCCAGGGCCGATCTGGGTCTCGCTTCCTCCTTCTCCTCCTCTTCCACCTCCTTCTTCTCCACCTCCTCCTCTTCCTCCTGCTGCTCATCCTGCTCCTACTCCCATCCTGAAAACCCCCTTTTTGTACGGTATTCCTTCCCTTCTCCTCGCCCCCCTCCCTGGCACTCCAGTCACCACGGAGCACATGCTTGCGAGGCCCTCCTGCGGACCCAACGGTCTGTGTCACCGAGACACGGCAGAGCAGATGGCACTTGAACCATCTTGGCTGCCAGGCACCTCTGAGATCGTCCATGGAAGACAGGGAATATTCTCAGCGCCGCGCGGGCGGCGGGAAGGTGCGCGCGCTCGCCTGACCTGCTCCACGCCGCGCCGCCGCGCGCGTGGCCGTGATGCCAACTGCGCATGTGTGTGAGGGAAGGAGGAGGCAGAGGAGGCGGAGGAGGAGGAGGAGAAATGGAGGATTGAGGAGGAGGAGGAGGAGGAGGAGGAGGAGGAATGGAGGAATGGAGGAATGGAGGATTGAGGAGGAGGAGGAATGGAGGATTGAGGAGGAGGATGACTGAGGAGGGGAGGAGTGGGGGGGGGGGGGGAAGGACCTGTAGCAACCGCCGCCCTCCCCGGGCCGGCGCCCGCGGGCCTCTCGCCCGCGAGAGAGCCGCGGGGCGCCGCTTTTTCCAAGGGGGCCGGGCAGCCATATGCAGGTCCACCTCCCTCCTTCGCCTCCTCCCTCCCCCCTTCCTCGCAGAGGAGGAAGAGGTACCCATACCTCTACCCTTCCCTCGTGTTCCCCTGTCTTGGGGGCCTCCTGGGAGGTCCTCGTCGCCAGCGCTGGATTCGCCTCGAAATATCAGTCAGAACGCACCCCAGGAGAGGTCTGGGGAGTAGCGGTATCGGCGGTATCAGTACCCTTTGGTTCCCCCTCCCTCCTCCCTCCTTCCTTCTGGTCGTCGTCTCCCCGTCCCGGAGGCCCCTTCGCGTCGTGGCGCGTTGAAAGTCGCGACGGAAGATGTTTTGCTGTGTTTGGCCTCTGTGGGCCCTGGCCGGTCCCAGGGACCGTCAGAAAACGAGCCCGGGTCAATCACTAGCCACAAAAACGGGGCGATACCCCTAGGGGTCTGCGCTGCGAGGAAAAACACGCCGTCGGGGGTCTGGGTTCTCGCGGGAAGGAGGAGGAGGCGGAAGGTAGATCTGTATAGCTGCCCTCCTCCGAACTTTTTGACTCGCAGGAACCTTCATACTCCGTCTGTCGTCCGCCCTGGCCTGCCTGGGCGACACACCGCCGGAGTGCAGCCAACCGAGGGGATCAGGCAAAAGCTGGATCGGCTTCTACACTAGAAGAAGAAGAAGAAAAACAAAAACGAGCGTAAACATAAACGTTTGGCGCTCCGCGCGGATTTCTTGGATGCGCTCTCGCGCGGAGCGCGCCAGGGGCGGCGCCGGAGGCGGCGCTGGGGGGGGCCAGCGCAGATTCAAGAAACCCGCTCGGCGCGCTAAAAGTTTATGTTTATGCCATGTTCGCTTCTTCGGTACACGCAAGAATGACCCTGGGCAGGAGTTGATGGACAAATTTTCCACAGCTGCGGAGCTGACCCAGGGGGGTCGAGTTCTGGACCTGGAGCTGCGGCGGCTCCTCCCCCTCCCTCCTCGGGTGACCCGTGCCCGGGAAAAAACGCGCGCTTGAATTATAGAGAAACCATTCTACAAGTTCATAACATGCGGACAAGCGGGCATCTCGCGAGAACATGTCGAACTCAGTCGAACACCTTTGCGCGCGTGCTGGGGGGACACAGCGGGCCACTCGCGCGCGTCGGCCGCGCGCGCATGTCGAGATCCGCCCCGGACCTTCATCACCGACGCGTGGACACCATCACCGTCACCGGCCTGAACAACATCGGCGCCGTCATTGGATTTGCCGTCGTCACGGCCATCATCGTCGCCAGCATCATTATTATTTTCGCGCCTGCCGTTATCGACGTCGCCATGATACCAAGCCCGCCCGAACCACCGACTCGCACTGAAATGCCCGCGCGTCAATGCGGCCTGCGGCACGCGCTAGAAGGTGCCCAGCGGTGAGCGCCACCGCGGCCGCGCCGGTCGAGCCATCCTAGCTGGCCGCT